GATGTGATTCAAATTCTGAGTAACGTCAGCAGACACATTCAGCTGGAATGTGAAGAGAAGAGAATCAAAGTGTGTGCACAAGTGGTTATACACAAATGCGATCAATTGCACTGGTGATTGCTGAGAGGAATGAGAGTAAAGATAAAGTTGTTTGTAATTTAATTAAGCAATTAAGTCGGAAGAATGTGAAGCGTAATGATGTGACCCCACCGACAATTAAACATCAGAGATTTTTACATTGTTTTGGTATATAGAGACAATGAGAATGATTTATATATGTGTCATTAGATGATTCCAATGAGGTCGACTGAAAAGCGTGGGCTGGTTGGCGTAATTATTAGATTCTGATGATATTGAAATTACCAGAACATATTTGGAGGTGATCTCATGCAATTAGGTGAGGCTCACTGGGAGTTGATTTATCCCTTGTCGATTATCTGAGTGAAAATCATTTGTTAGACTTTGAAAATGTATTCTCAGTAAGTATTCATGTGGTCTGATGAAAACCATATCAGTCGTTATGGTTGGGATGGCCATCCCAGGAGGTTGAATTCTCCTTGATTACTGATGAACATATAGATCGGTGAAAGTGCAATAGTCGATGTTGTAGGTGTTGCAGATAACGCCTTGTCGATTCATCATTCGATGAGATGGATGACGATATGCGCTTGTATGAATCAGCGTAGATTTCGACTGTCACTTCATTTGACTTTAGTGCATTCTTCACAGAAGTAGCCTTATTGGTGTGCCAGATGATTCACATAAGGTAGTCGGTTCAGTGAAAACCGTATCGTGATTATGAGTTGTATATGTGTTCGTTTGAGTTTTTCTACCCAGGCAGTCACAATCTGATGTTTCGCAGACGATATTTTCATTTTCCTGTTCAGTGAAACTCTGCTGAATGTTAGAGGACAATAAGCATGTATTCTGCAATTCACATGCTCTGAATTTCTGGTGTCCACACTGGAGTAAGTCAATTCCAGTTATGTGATTGTGAAAGCCAGCGCCTATTATTATTATTATTTCCTTTAATTCCTAGAGGAACATAGGGCTTCAGCCATGCGTCTCCATTGCGTTCGGTTCTCTGCTAGAGTTTTTACCTGGCTCCAAGTCTGCCCATACGCTTTCAATTCTTCTTCACATGATCTCCTCCAGGTCACCCTTGGACGACCAACTCGTCGCTTCCCTTTCGGCCGGGTTCCACTCGAGCGATGGCTTGTCTAGTGATGTCACTTACTGGTTTCCTCAGAGTGTGGCCAATCCATCTCCATTTCTTCCTGCCTATTTGTTTCACAATCGGTTCCTGGTTGGTTCGCTCCCAGAGATCTTTGTTGCTGATCCTTTCCGGCCATCTGATCTTGAGTATTGAGCGAAGACAACTGTTAATGAAGGTCTGTAGCTTGTTTGAGGTGCTCTTTGTGACACGCCAAGTCTCTGATCCGTATAGTGAGAAGCACTGACTTCACATTGGAGTTGAAAATCCCGATCTTATTTTTGACGCTGAATGTTGTTGACCTCCACACAGACTTGAGAGTAATGAAAGCTTGCCTTGCTTCCCGATCCTTGCTTTGATATCCTCGTCAATTCTGTCCGTCTGTAGTTGAAACAGTGCTTCCCAGGTAAGTAGGTAAATGAGGTAGTTTCTTTCAGGTTCCTTCCATTTATGCTGATTGCTGTCTGTTGTTGTTGCTGTGGCTGTTGGTGTTGGCCAGGAATCTTCATCACCTCCGTTTTCTCTATGTTCACCTGGAGTCCTATCTTTGATGCTTCTTCTGCCAACTTGTCACTTTTCAATTGCATATTTTCCAGTTTGTGGGAAATCAGACATACATCATCGGCGAAGTCCAGATCCTCCAAGTTCTTTGTGTGAGTCCATTTTATGACTGTTTCCTCATTGCCCGCTGTCCGTCGCATTATCCGATCTACTGCAATCAGGAAAATCACTTGCGATAGTAGGCAGCCTCGTCTTACCCCTGTCCCCACTTCGAAGGATTCCGTAAAGTCCCTATTGTGGATTACTTGGCATGCAGCGTTGTCATACAACTGTTGGATGACATGTATAATTGTCGGTGGCACCCCGTAGTAGCGAAGTAGTTTCCAAATCACCTCTCGATCGACGCTGTCGAAGGCCTTTTCAAAGTCGATGAAGTTGAGATAGAGAGGTGACTGCCATTCCAAACTTTGTTCAATGATGATCCGTAGTGTGGCGATTTGATCAATACATGACTTGTTTCCCCTGTATCCAGCTTGTTCCGGTCGAAGTTTTTCATCCAGGGCTTGTTTGATCCTTTCCAGGATGATGCGGCTTAGTATTTTGCTTGGGATGGACAGGAGGATAATTCCACGCCAGTTCTTGCATTGACTTAAGTCTCCTTTCTTTGGTAGTTTGAATAAGTATCCTTTCTTCTAATCCTCGGGTACTTTGCCTTCTTTTCACACCTTCTCCAGTAGTGGCGTCATCAAGTCCGCTGTTGTCTCTAGGTCCGTTTTCAATGCCTCTGCTGGGATTCCATCTGTTCCTGCTGCTTTTTCAGCTGTCAGCATATTGATTGCCTTCAGGACTTCTGATTTCGTCGGGGGGTTGATGTTCACTGGTAGCTCTGTCTCCGTTGTTGGTATTGTTGGGCGCGTTGTAGGTGGCGGTCGGTTTAGTAGTCTTTTGAAGTGTTCAGCCCAGTGTTCCCTTTGCTCCACTTCTTTGGTGATTGACTTTCCATTGTCATCCTTCACTGGCTTAATTTGTGACGAATGTTTGCCTGAGAGGTACCTAGTTGTTTGGTAGAGTGTTGCGAGGTCTCCTTTGCCTGCTGCTTGTTCTGCTACATTGGCCATGGCTTCATAATACTTCTTTTTGTCTTCTCTGGCACTCTTCTTTACTCTTTTGTTCAATGTATTGTAGCTTGTATTCAAATCCTGTTTTTGTTGCTCATCGGTGCACTGGAGAATTTCTTGTTTCACCATCCCTCTCTTTTCTATTAGTCTCCAAGTGTCCGTAGTGAGCCACTGTTTGTCCTATCTCTTCTTTCTGCCTAGAACTTCCATGCAGGTTTGACTCCATACTGTCTTCAAGTTGTTCCAGTGCTTTTCGACGCTGACCTCTTCGCCAGTGTCGATTTGTGTCTCGGCTTTGTCCTTTATGCTTGCAGTGAAGATGTCCTTTGTGTTCTGGTCCTTCAGTTTTTGAGTGTTGAACTTGGCTTGTGGTCCATCTGCAGCTCCTGATTCTCTGAAAGCTTTTAATCTGATTTGGATTGTCCCTTGTACGAGATAGTGGTCTGAGCCAACGTCTGCTCCTCTTCTTACTTTTGTGTCCAGCAGGCTGCGCCTCCACTTTCTTGAGATTGAGATGAAGTCGATTTGGTTTTTGGTTCGCCCATCTGGTGACACCCATGTAGCCTTGTGGATATCCTTGTGTTTGTATACACTGCTACCAATCACTAGTTCATTGAGGGCGCAGAAGTCGGCGAAGAGTTCTCCGTTTTCATTCATTTCTTCGAGAGCTTCTCTACCAATGATAAGTTCCCTTCCTGTGTTGTCTGATCCCAGTTTGGCGTTCATGTCTCCCATTAGTATTTTAATGTCACCAACTGGAGTATTGTCCATTGTTGCCTGTAGTTGTCTGTAGAATTCTTCTTTCTTTTCGAAGTCTGCGTTGTTTGTGGGTGAATAGCACTGTATAATTGACACTTTTCTTACTTTGGAGTTGAATCTGGCGGTCATTATTCTGGGTGAGATCACCTCCCACTGTATCAGAGCCTTGGTTGCCGTTGGTGACATCATGATAGCCACGCCCTCGGTGTGTGTGTGGTTGTCTTTTGGGTGACCGGAGTAAATCACTGACTCACCTGTTGACAATTTGGTGAGTCCGTTTCCGTTCCATCTACTTTCGCAGATCCCCAATACTTGTATTCCGTATCTCCTCATTTCGCTTGCGATCTGGGCAGCTTTGTGACAAAACTCACATTTGACGCAAGAAGATGAGGGCCTGAATTTCTGAACAACCCATTCAGTTTGACAAACACGAAATAACAAAAATATACAGAAATATACGCTGATTCATTCATACAAGCGAATATTGTCATCCATCAACAATGGGTAAATCAACTCCCAGTGAGCCTCACCTAATTGCATGAAATCATTTCCAAATATGTTCTGTTAATTTCAATATCATCAGAATCTAATAGTTACGCCAACCAGCCTACGCTTTCTCAGTCGACCTCGTCGGAATCATCTAATCAGACAGATATAGGTCATTCTCATTGTCTGTGTACCAAAACAAACGATATATAGATCTCTGATGTTTAATTGTCGGTGGGGTCACATCATTACGCTTCACATTCTTCCGACTTAATTGCACAAGTGGTTATACACAAATGCGATCAGTGGCACAATTGATTACTGAGAGGAAAGAGAGTAGAGATAAATCTGCTTGTAATTGAATTGAACAATTATGTCGGAAGAATGTGAATTGTAATTATGTGAGAATTATCGCAATTAAACATCAGAGATCTACATATCGTTTGTTTTGTTACACAGATAATGAGAATGACCTATTTCTGTCTGGTAAGGTGATTCCGACGAGGTCGACTGAAAAGCGTAGGCTGGTTGGCGTAACTATCAGATTCTGATGATATTGAAATTAACAGAACATATTTGGAAATGATTTCATGCAATTAGGTGACTGACTGATTTTGTGAAGGCTGAATCGCCGCCAATCAGAGAATGAGTGTGTGAGTGAGTGAGTGAAGATGAGTATTTGGAATTGAACGCATTGATGCTTCTCTCACATTGCATTGGTTACAACACAACACTTCAAAAAGAACACTGATTGGTGAAAACTAACATTACGACTGGTCAGCTCTGTGACACACAATCAGTATTGACAGTCACAGACACATACACGAACTGTGATGACACAGATTACGAGTGTATAAAAGGAGATGCATGTCGGCTTCCTGTCAAACTCGTGCGTTACTCTGCTTCATACAGTGCTTCATACAATGTCTTCCTGGTCATTACTCCTCTGTTTCGTTCTTCTGTCGACAAGTGGAATTCAAGGTAAGTCGACGGTGTATATTATCATCCGCCTGACAGTCTGATGTCGAGTAACACGAATATTCAGTCTCTTTTCTCTATGTGTGTCTGCATGTGTGATACAAGGTTGATTGTACTCTCATTTCATATTGTGTAACTGTTGCAATGGATTCGCTTTACCGCAGTTGTTTGTGTGAAATGTCATTGACTGAGATTCTCAGACGAGTATATTTGACGGGGACGTTGGGTCTCACTGGTTATCTTCTCATTCATGCATAATCGGCACTCTAGTGCTCTACGTTTTCCTTCACGCGGTCGAAATTCAATCATGTTCATTGAGGAATCACTGTGAATAATTATAGGAATGACTTGACAGAAACATGTGTGTTTGATATGACGGAAAAATGGAGTTCGTTGTTTCAGGAGAATGAGCGGCATTTGTTGATATATTATCCTGCAAATTCGCAAAATAACTCCGAGTGCATGGACGCATATCCGACACCCACGCACACGGAGATTTTCATGTTTGTTGATAGACATTGGAGATGATCAAAAATACAAGTGGTGTGGAGGTGTTCTGCTCTGCGGTTCACGTGACACAAACTCATCAAAAGTGTGGCTGTTCAAGATGCTCACTGTTCACGAGTGTTATGGTGGAGACAAATGGATGTTGATTTGGTGCTGTGAGAACGTGCAGCTTCATCTCTTGTCACCAGTGAATTCGAAGTGCTTTCAATTTCCACAAATTGATTTCCCACCACGAAATGTTTGTTGTACGTTGTGAACGTACAATATACTCTACTCTCTTCTCCTCTTATTGGATAATGGTCACTGTTTCCTTGAATACTTTCAGTTGGCGCAGACATGCCGGTAAGTCCGTTGTTCATGTTGATGTTGTCTGTGTAGTGTCACAGGTGATGTCAGACACGTATTCAGTGGTTGTTTGGATAGGCCATGTAGCGTGTTGTTGTGTCTCGCACCATCAAATTCGTTAAACTGTCCACCGAACCTTGAGTGTGTGGGTGAGAGTGATTTTGTGTCGCTGACTCATACACCTGAGAGAATCCAGAATATACATTCTGGAATGATTCCTCCTTCTTTGTTAACATGAGCATAATTAATAGCTGCAGTGAAATGTTGATGACGTGCTGCCATCGGTGTTATTTTTCATTCAGCAAAGATGAATTTCGAGATATATAGAAGTCACTGATGCGTTCTGAATACACTGGTCATGATCGCACGTTAGAAATTGTATCAGAATACGCTTGAAATTGAAAAGATATCCTGCTTAAACCAACAATCTAACCCAACTCTCTTTCTCTTGAAAATAAAATCTGTGATTGTATTGATTCCGCTTATCTGCGCACTGTGGATTGAACGACTCGCAAACTGCATTCCAGTAGAAATGAAGTGTTCCACTCTCCTGACACTCAATTATCCGCTGTCACTCGCACGACGGTTTGCTTGCTGATGATGACGTCAGATGTGTATATGCTGTATCGAACTAGTATGTCAGTGATGCGAAATGATTTCTTGATAATGAATCCACACAGGCACACCACATGGTCACCTTGCAATGCATTCTGACATCCAGACTATGCACAGAGGCAGGTGAGTTGAGGAGAAAAGTTCACTCACAAATGCAAACATCATCTCTGTTTATTTTCTGCTGTTCTCCGCTCCCCTCTAGGCACCTCAGTGGCAATCCCACTATAGATCTTTCACGTATACTCAGGGGTATGCGACGGTTCAATGTTCATGCGTAAGTAACAAACAGACATTTGTGCTGCTTCACTTAACCGCCTCGTTATTTGCATCACCTGCATGTTTGTCGAATGCGTGTTGTTTCGAGCATTGAATGATTCAACGACCAGCTGAACCAGTTAAGCACTGACGAGAGTCGAAATGGAGGTGTGATTTGCACTGATATCTGGATTGTCCGGAAACTGACGTGTATTGCATTCACATGGATGGATGGATGTTAATTCAGTGGATGGAGAATCCGACGGAATTCGTTCATGTGAAATTGGAGAATTCAGCCTCACCTATCAGATTTTCTACTTTGAAGCGATTCCTGATAAGTAATTGTCATGAGTGAAATTTTGAATTTAGCGAACATTCAGCTGTGATACTTGTTGTGTGTACTGGCAGAAATCTATATCATCAGATTCCTCTGATTTACCAGCGAAGTTGACACGTGTGATGGTGTCTATGAATCGAAGTTGTTTGCATTAAGAACAGACATTGAGATTCAGTGTGTATTCAGAGAATATTGAATATTTGTGAAGACGGACTAGATGTGAACTCTGAAACACTGGAAATCATTGGAAATCTCCACGTTTGTGATGTTCATGTCTCGACGAATCCAAAGTGGTTCACTCCCTGACGGCTTATATGCTGCTGCATGAAGTCAGAATCACACCTAGTTTCATTTGACAGTGTAATACATCGGTACATTACCCCCGATAATGATGAGCCGAGAGTAGGTGTCTGAAGGTGATTCACGGTGGTGGAAATCATTTCACCTCGAAACATTTCCATTGTCGACTCAATACTCTTCATGAGTGTTCAACTGACCTTGTGAGTGCGAATGATAACCGGTTGTGGGAGATGATCTACTGACTGGAATTGTTCAACTGTGTTCTGTGAAGTGGCTGTGAGAAATGACAAGTGTGTGTTTGTGACAGCTGACACCGCCTTCACATCAAGTCGTTCACATCACTCGTCTAAGCAGTAAAGAATGCCTTCTCCGTTGATCTCTATGGCGACGAAATATGAATACCAGTGAAGATGTTGAGTGATGGCTAGTCGAACGGAGGTTGTGCACGAACAGAGGTTCTTTGTTTCTCGCTATTAGCCAATTAGAGACAGCAGTTCGGTTGAATTGAGTCCGCGTGTGACAGTGAATATTGCGTTTTCAGTAATTCTCAACTTGTCTTCATTGCCTTCAATTATTTCTTATTCAATTCAGTTGAGAAGTCTATCCGATGCGGTGAGTTTTATGATTCCTTACACTAGTCTCTCCATCCACATGTACAATCACAACGACTTTGAGTTAAATACGCTTACACTATTATCACCACTATCAACATCACCAAAATCATCGTCTTCTTCATCATCAGCTGAGGCTTCCGTCAAGAAGGAGATTGACATTGAGCCTGAGTGCATTTGGAGACACAGGGAAATACAATAATACAATCGGTAAAACAAGGAGATTAGAGGAAATCGCACAGATTTGATTGAGTGGGAATTCAGCTAGTCGAGTGATTCAGTAATTTGAAATGTGAATGGCGTCAATGTTGATGTGAAGAATGATTTGTATTGATTGAGTGTTTCTAATTTTTCAGGAGCTTCGTCGACAACTTCCACCACCTGCATCAAAGTGTCCCCGATGCCACTATGTAAGTGGGTATGCTATGCTATGCTATGCCGTGTTATGCTTTTCTGTGCCATGTATGCTGTGTTGTGCAATGATATCATGTGATGAGTTACTTTGTCGTGAATGATTTCTCATTCAGCCCCCACTCAAATAACCAAGCCTCCATCAAAGTAGTCCTATGGGATATGACATTTCACGTTTCCACACGTTTCAATAAGTTGCACACATTTCAGTCACATTTGAGTGAGAAATGTGTAGATATGTGCAGTGTCTGTTTAACATTTTTAGCAGACGTGAATTCCGTCCACTTTCATTTTCTCTTCTTTTCCATTTCCACACTCACAGGTGGGATGATCTGAGAAGAAGAGGAGGAATGATGTGGAGGAACGGGAGAATTGATTTGCTCAAGACGTCACCTATCCCATTCTGTGAATGCTTTTCATTCTGATGATTCACAAATCCACTTTAATGTAAATTACGACAATAAATGTTCAATTATATTAACAACATTCAGCACTTTGTTTTCGTGTCCCAATATTCTCGGCGTGTAGGTCACAATCGTGTACATCGATGAGAAGTAATGTGCGAATATCCTCTTGGTTTCACATCACACTGATGTTCTCTGAAGTTTCAGCTTCCGACTGATGAATTGCGTGTAGGCCTCCATCATGACGATGTTAGCGCATGACCTTAGTCAAAATAAATTCATTATGCATGGCTGGATATTCGATGAAGTCACCTAGTGACTGATGCTGACACACACACGATTTCTGGTCAGCGATACTTATGAGGATTTGATCGGAGAATGAATCGCTGTTTCACCGCTGACGTGACTTGTGTTGAGGGAGTCTGAGTGGCTTTGAGTGGAGTGTTGAATCTGCTGGTCATTCATATTTCCTGCAATGTGATTAGCGAACAGTGGTTGTTACACTCTGATTCGCTCTCTTGAATTGACGACACTGACTGTTGAGATGCTTTCCAGTGACTGGTGTGTACAAAGCAAGAGTAGGCTGGAATGTGATGTATGGATGTAATGCTGTGAGTGAGTCGTCTTATGAGGAGAACTATGTCACCATGATGATGTCACCATCGACGCGCCAACTGAACTGAGTAATGATAATCACTGCATTGTCCTGAAAAGACGAAGGCTTTTTATATTACACTCCTGCATCAGCAGTCTGAGAGACAAACACGATCACTGTACCGGAAAGTGTGTAACTTCAAATGGACGAGTCGGGAACTCACATGATCGGGCGTTGTGTGCATTAACTCTAGACGGTGGCTGGGAGTGTGTTCATCTCCAGTGAATTCATTATTCGGCTGATCAGGAATTCGAATACTTCACATTATCTTTAAGGAATGCGTTCCCTCGTAGCAATCGAAGTTTGGTTCCACTTCTCCGGAATGAGTTTTGCTAGCCTTGTATTCATTGCGTAGGCGATTTCCGAAAATACGCACCATTCACCCCATCAGTTCGACTCAAATTCTATTACATGAAATCTAATCTCTATAATGCAGTTGGTGATTCACGTGTGACCATACAACAATGTATTTGGCGAGTATCTGACCCCAATGATACCAATCTGTGGTCAGACTTGAAAAATGTCAAAGACTTAGAAAACAAAACTTGCAAACAGCGCTTACTCACACATGTCTAGTGAATGGTGACCATCAAATGAAACAGTACTATTACAATTATTGTTCTTCCTTTGAGTACCAAGTCATATATGGGGCTTCGATAGCGCATATCAATCTCACTTTGTTCCCTGTTGTTAGTGCGGAGAGAGCGAGGCAGCTAGCTGTTGATGGAAGTCTTCAGTGGGAAGCTTGAATTAAACTAGTAGGATGAAGACAATAGAAAATCAATTCATCCATAATGGGATCTTAAGAATCCACAGGCTTGACAGCAAGCCAGGTCAGTGTTAGTGTTTCAAACATTCTTTCCATCCGCAGAGCTCCATTTGATTCAGGTGAATCTCAGTGGCCTTTGCTGCTTGTAGGTTTAGATAAATTATTCGATAGCTCGTAAACGGTAGGAGAAGGCAATCGAATTCTAACCTCTTACAGTTCGTATACCATTGAATCGCTTCCCAGTGGCTGAATGGTATACGAGGTTGCCCTGTAACCGAAAGGTCCTGGGTACGAATCCCAGTCGGTGCGTAATGCCAGTGATTCACAAACTAGAATGAAACAGCTGTGCAGTACTCCTTGGTTTTCAATGGTTCTCTAAATGATATCAATCCCTGATCAACTCGTGTAAACAATAGAATGCGCACGACCAGTTACTTCATCTCGCAGTCTCCAATAGACAAACGTTCATGTGAGAAATCAGAGCTGCACCTTACATGCATCATGTGCTATTTGAGTCTATTTTCTCAGCTTGCTGGTGACTATTTCACTCGGTATATCACTTTTGAATTGTAGTCGCATGTATATGGAGATATCTTGTTAACAGATACAGAATCATAATTGTCTCCTACTTTCTTGACCATGTGTTCCTTGATGAACTTTCAACGAAAGTCGTTGTTCCTAAAATAATCACCGAATTATCTGATAAGACGAAAAGTATGCAGACTGCACACTTTCCCATAGAGAGAATAGAGTGGACAGCAGAGATTTCGTCCCATACTGGTACTACACTATTTGCATATTGACTTCACTTTAAAATTGTCAGCTATTATTCCAGAATTATGATATAATGTCGCCTCAAGTGAACTTCGGAGTGTTTTCTCATAGACTGACTGACTGACTGACTGACTGCATAACTGAATTCACTGGATTTGAATAGTGAGTCAGTGTACAGACAGAATATTTGACAAATTGACAAATTTGAAAATTGTCAGCTTTGTGTGGCGGACCGTAGACTTAGCTAGCTTAATATACCGGATTCGAATAGAAATAAAAATTACAAAATCCGTACAGTTACTGGAAGAATTTGTTAAAATTTGTTACTTGGGTTATTACAAGGTCCAAAATCCACAATTAACTTAACAGACTCCGGAAGTATTGTAAGAAGACTGCTCCAACCAAATTCTCCAATGTCGATATTGCCAGAGGTCGACCAAGGTAACGTAGGAAGAAATTATGGTGTCCCTGCGAAATTTTGAAATAGAAGATAGGTAATTAGAATTGGCCGATGGCAGTTGAGATGGTGGAGAGTTGTAGGCAGAACTATATTTTCATTCAAAAACCGAGGTTAACTTCAAAGTACAGAGATTTTGGTTAAAACAAAGTAATGTACAATATGTTCATTTCTCACATAATAGTAAAAGTTGGATAAGTTTATTTTTGAGGACTCCACACGGCTCACCCTCTTAGAGGTCTGGAGGACCATCCGTACTGTCAGGGTGAATGATTACATGAATATATGCAGCATAAATGATTGATAATGTTAACAATAATGATAACAAAAATTAACCGTAACAATAATGATACAAAATAACATCAAAATGTATGGAATGCATCCGTGTCAAAGAAACATTAGCACATGCAATCATAATTCAGGAATAAAAGGAAATCAAAACTTGTTATAATTTTAAATAAAAATTTATGCACATAATAAACAATGAGGTGGTCGTTAGCCTCTGACAAATTCATATATAAGGAGATATATATATATCCCTGGTTAATGCATATGCTTGCAGTACAGTTAATAAACTACAAACAATTAGTGATAATAATATTAATAAATGTCTATGTTTATAGTGAAATGAATGTCAACAACAATAATACTGAGGAGAATGTCTAAATAAAGGTTAACGTACTTGTTATGTCAGTCAATGAAATGAACATAGCGAGCAGGTTTACAGATCTGCCAACCACTGCGTGTCTGAACAGGGGCAAGTATGAAGAGCGGAAGTGTAGGAGTTGCATTGATTTTCTCATTATTTATCGGTGCAGGCGTTGCTATTCTTTCATATTCACTGTCAGTGTACGCCGGTTTCAGACGGTCAACAGAAACAGTTTCCTGCTTACCATTTTTGTTCAGTGTGAAATATTTGTCAGTGCGCTTGAGTACTGGAAAAGGACCTTCATATGGATGTTGTAAGCCTTTCTTAATGGCATCGATGCGAACAAATACAAATTTGAAAGTAAGTAGATTCTTGTTAACTTGAGCTTTGTGAAATGCTTGGCGAGGGGCTACTGGTCGAAGTTGAAGCATTTGCTGAGTAAGACGATTGGAAAAATCAGAGATATTTACATCAGTTGAATCATTGGAAGGAACTAACTGACTAGGAAATGTGAGGGTAGTACCATACACGAGTTGAGCAGGTGTACATCCGAAGTCTTCTTTGACAGTTGACCGGATACTGAGGAGAACTAATGTTAGGTGTTCACTCCGCTTAGATGAGTCAGCTTGTGCCATCATTTTCATTACTTTAATAGAACTGAAGGTGTCTATGTGGATGATATATGTCTATGTAATGCATCAGCAAGTTGTAGTAATTGATACAATGATTAATAGTAGAAAATAATTCATTTTAGCGTTAATATTCCGAATAAAATTATGGGTTTTCAGAATGCAGGTGCTCAGTCTTTTTATCATGTCTATTTTGATAAGTATCACTTATCACAGCTTTTATAGCAGGCTAAGAATGTCTTCACCAGTATCTTTGAAAACCGAAGTCAACTGAGAGACTTTCATAGGTTTGATTTCACCTATTTCAGTTTCATACCAGCTTCTATTGTATAGAAGAGAAACCCTGAACTGTGTATATCGAAGCCATTTGTTCAATCCCTTTCCTTTCTTTTAACCTTGTTCTAAACGTGTACAGTAATTTGGTATGTAATCCACCATAACTCGTTCTTTTCTTCTTCTTCTTCTCCTTCTTTTCTTTCAAACTCTCAACTCTGACGATATGGTGGGCATTCAGCATCAGCAGAGAATTCATTCGGAGTCATAGATGAAGTTCAAATAATCCATTTGAAAGGATTTCGCCTACTTCTTCTTCATGCAGCCAAAACCTTAGAAATCCATAAAGGAAACCTGAACTTTGTATTCAAAACACTTTTCATCCAGCCACCTTTAACTACCATGACCTGTCGTGTCAGTTTTTGTTTTCCTGAATAGCTGCAATACAAACTTCATGTGATCCTTTTGATGTTTCAGTCCTCTTTATTATTTTTCAATTTCGTAAGAGCTTTTTTAATATGTTGTTCTCTGGTTTCCTATCGATTACTTCAGAATGAGTGTTCATCACTTAACCACTTAGTTGTCAACCCTCCCAATTGCTCAAGATTGTCCACAATTTTTCAAACATTGTTATTATTATTATTGTTTCCTTTAATTCCTAGAGGAACATAGGGCTTCAGGCGTCCGTCTCCATTGCGTTCGGTTCTCTGCTAGAGTCTTC